TTTATTTATATTTTTAAGACTTTATAGTGAATTTTCTTTAGAAAATGTAAAAATATTTGGGATTCTCTCATGTATTAACCTTGAAAGCGTAAATTAACGAAAAATTACTGTTAGACGACTAAGAAAATAACTATCACGTGTTACTAAAAAATTCTCCCATTAGAATATTTTAATAGATCATATGTTTGTCAATTTTTTTCCATATTTACTAAACATATATTTACTTATCAAAGTTTTATCTATAATTTTAACAAAGTAAGATTGAAATAATATTCATGTAACAAAAAAATTCAAAAAATCCGACAAAACCGAATCAATCCAAACCGACATAATTGGTTTGATTTGATTTTGATAAAAACCAAACAACCCGGTCCATATACACCCCTAGCTATTCATATGTAAACTTGCAACGAACATTAAAGCTCACAAAAAGAGCAATAGTACCTTTTTAGCTAAATCCATGCTTCTTTTATTTATAAACTTAGCTTCTTTAAATTTTTATAGGCAAAAGAATACTTGTTCCTTTCGTACCCACACTACCCAAAAAAGAAAAAAAATTAGCTACGAACTTCGTCTCTAATGATCTGTCACTATATCGCTCGTAGCTAATAAAATTTTTTGACAATTTGTTGCTAATTCATCGTTAAATAGAATTACTAACAAATTTTTTGTTTAACTACAGAATTTATCTGTTGCTAATTTTTTTTTTGTATAATATCGAGGTTACCACTAAGAATTACATCCACATCTCATGAGTAACACTTTTAAGATATACATCTTATCGTACTTTCTATCACATTTACATGTCATGAGCAAAAATCTTGTAGATATTTTAGTATATGTGATATCTGATCTTTATGACTGCACTCAAGGATTATAACCAAACAAAAAAGTTGGGGTTCAAGTGATCTTAGATCAAAATATCAATGACAAAACCTTACAATACAAAATTATTATCACAAAGAATATATACAAATAGTCGCTCATCCGACCGATTAAATAAAAAATAATCGGTAGATGTATAATATACATTATTCATATATAATTTTTATGTAACCGTGTATAATTAATATATAATCTATGTATACTAGCTAGGAAAAGTGAATCCTATCAGCTATATTTTCTTAAGAGTAATGACGCGAAGAACTGCTAGCAGGAATTTTCTTGCATAGTGAAAGAGAATAGATGTCAAAATCATATTGATAATCAAGTAAGCTATATCTCGATCCGTCTTTAGAGTCGATTTGTTCAAATAGGGGCGGAGTTAGCTTGTGCCAAGGCGGTTTAATTGAATTTCCTTTATCGAAAAATCATATTGTGTAAATAAAAAATTGTATAATATTTTTGCTATATATAAACTGTTGAATCTTCTTGACACAAGAGAAAATTCTATTTTAGCGACAAAGGCGGTTCAAAAAACGCTTTAGGTCGTATATTTAAATTTTGGGTGTGAGTGTGTAATATTTTAGTATTTTCTTGCATCGCATTGTAGAAATTTTTAACTCTGTCACAAAATTCAGAAAAAGCTCCAGCAAGACCTAAAATCTCTTGTCGCCTTAAGATGTTTTCCCGACTTTCATACATCACCTATCCTTGCAAGAACTTTAGGATGACACATAAAAACACTCTATATATTTTTACTAGTTATTAAAATTATAATTTTTTGGTTTTATTCGATATTTGATATCCGCTTTAGGAACACTGATTACATTCACGCGGAAAGTGTCACTTTGAGGAATTATATATTTTTTATTAAAGACGACTTTATATTCGAGACTTCTAATTAAGGATAAAAGAGTATTTATCACTCTACCACAATCTTTGACGAGAATTACTCGTTACTATTCCCTTGCCACAAGATGGGCAGAAAACACGTATCGATTCTCCTCACCTGCTAGTCCTTTTCTTGATACAAAAGTTTGTGGCAACCATATCATCATCTCAATTAGTAGTAGCCACAATCGACCAAACTCTATCTCTTGTCATCTCTTTGCCTCTCTTTTTAACCTTTTACAAACAAGTTGCTTTCCAATTATTTGCCATTTCTTGAATACATTCAAACAAAAAGTGAGCAAAGCAACATTTGGACTAACTTGACATGTGTCACTCTTTGAATTTCTTTCTTTCTTTCATTCAGTGAACACTCTTGAGTTCACCTATATATAATTGATTGATTGATTTTTTTTCCTTCACATGGTTGTCCTTCTCACTTGCTTTTATGGTGAAATATGTATTTTATTTTTTTTAAATTTCCATTTATTCTATCAAAAGAAAGCCACCAATAAAGTGATAGTTCCAAACAAGTTGTAGTCAATTATATATTAATATGAGCAGGCGGAATATTTCGATTTAAATACAGAGGAACACCTGTTAGAAGATAATTCTTATATCTCAAAAATAGAATATAACATATTCATTATCATTTACTACCCATGATTAATAGTCATTATTATAATATTATAATTAATTTTTTATTAGCCTTAATGACTTTAATTTGTAACAGTCATTTCAATAGTCTTTGAATGACATTTTATAATTTTAAAACGTTGCTTACAATCTGAAGTTAAATATATATATTCCTATGTGTTACTTTGTGTAGTAGAGTGAAAAAAGTTAAAACTTCTCTTCTCTTTTCTTTTGTGCTCGGTTTTTTTTTATTCAATCTTTGTTGTTTCTGCTCCTAGTTTATACTAGAAGATCTTGTTGAATCCAGGGGATACGCCTAATTTTATTTATTACGGTGTAGGCGAAATATCCTTAAGGACAATGTCTTTGACACGCCTCAAGCTAAACCTTCTATTCTCCATAATCAACCAATATTTTTCCAACAATATTAAGGATATTGCAATATTTGGCGGATGCTCATTATAATGGAGTACTGAAATACTCAAGTATTTCATACTGCTTACTACTTAATTATAGCAGCCACTAATTCCAAGTCCAAGCTCCATCCAGCAGAAGTGAAAGCAATGAAAGAGATAGCCAAAAAGCTTGGGAAAATAGATTGGGATTTTAACAAGGATCCTTGCGGTGGAGAAGGGAATTGGAGTGTTGTAGTTATTGTTAAAGGAATTGAGAGTTCTATTGCTTGTTATTGCTCTTTTAACAACAATTCTACCTGCCATATTACCTCCATGGTGTCAAACGGTTCGACTCTTTTTTACTTTATAAAAGAAGATGTCACAACTTGGCAAGAATCTCGAGATACGCCATTATTTGGAGACATTGGAATCATTTGTTGTTGATGTTCCTCATGAATATTATTCTGGTACGATCTCCAACATAATTACTGAGAACTTATATTTTAAAATAAATGAGAGCATGCTTTGCGAGGACACAAGAGAGTAAATTAAGATTTATTAAGATTATATCATTATATATTTTGAGTATTAAGATTGAGATATTATATATATTTACCACATAGAAGTGTTGCAACAAGCATTTGGTGTTATTATCTATTATTGATGTGGTTGAATTTATTGTGCCGTTGGATTTCAAATGTTTTATTTGGCTTCTTTTGAAGAAAATCAATCAAGAGCATTGACTTGCATTAGCTAGAATTAATGAATTTTCTTATGAGAAACAAGTATTAATCTTTATGAGTTGTGAAAATATTATCTCCTTAACTTGAAATTTTTTAAAATGTGGGGGATCAGATGTCTAGAGTGTTATAGCCTGATCATAAAAAGGGAAAAGTGAGAAAAAAAATTATTTATTAATGTTATAATAAAGCCTTACAAATTTGAGATTTTTTTTTGTGGCAAAAATTTGTATTGGAAGATCAAAATATATATTGTATTTATGGCTTTGAAAACTTATGCTGCTTCGGGTCTCTTAGTCATTTGGGTGAAGAAATCGTTGAATTATGACCCGTTTTCTACTAATTTGAGATATTTTGTAGAAGTTNTATAATTGTATCTTATGGAAACTAATTTTTTTTTAAAGTTTGTAGAACTTGTAAAGCTTTTTAGTAGGGATGGTGCTTTAGTCATTTACTCAGATCCTATATCTTTTAGAAGCCTTTTAGTCATGTCAGAGATTTATATCTTAGTAAAAAATATATAGAACTTCTAGTACTTTTTGTCTTGTATACTATTGGTCTGAGATGAGTTTAACTGGAGCAACATAGTCAACGAGGATTCATATTGCCTACCCCAACTTGCTTGGGATTGAGGCATAATAGTGTTATTGTTGTAAGTAAAGCTTTTTATGATCACAAACACCGGAAAAGCTTACAGAGTAGAGTTCAACATTTCTGTTTGAAAAGCTAGGATCCATGTGTTGCGACCATCTTTTCCATTAACGATGAGATTGATCTTGGGCATGAACAAGTTGAAGGTTTGTTTATAACCAGCTTGGTTGGCTTACAACTGATACTACAGTTACGATCCCATTAATGAAATCTCTAGTTAAGTCAAGCTATCCTGTTGGCAAGGACTCCACGTGCGGTATCTTGAAGCAGTCCTCAGCAGTAGGAAGTAGTAGGTTATTGAGGAATTTGGAAAACGGTTGTGTTAATTATAGACTTGAATGCATGAATGATGTGTTTAACCAGGATAAAATGAATTTTATGCGTCAAATCCTCACAAGCACATGTTTTCATGTCATTTTTTAATTTAGTGAGAGTTGTCAGCTGACTAACAGCATGCTGCAAAGATGTGCTTGTTCTTGATATATTGTTTAACCTCCATTGCTACTGTGGTCCACCATACATTAAGCTAAGTATACACACCCTTTTTAGATATCTGTTGACTGTCAGTCCAACATTTTATGTATAAGGTGTCTGAATCTGTTGTTGGCTATTAGTACCTTACTATGAAGTCAACCTTCATTTATCTCAGGCAAAATTTTATATTTGATGGGGAAATAGTTATAAGAAGAATCTTTTTCCAATATGTGGTCTAGACGTGGAGCGTGTCTTAACATTACCATATGTTGGAGACAAGCTCATTAAAATGTATACTATTATCTCAGGAGATGTTGCTAGAGTGAATGGTCAACTGGCTGTTTCTCGTGCTTTTGGAGACAAGAACCTGAAATCACACCTGCGTTCTGATCCTGATGTAAAAAACATCGATGTTGATGGAAATACAGATCTTCTCATCCTTGCAAGTGATGGTTTATGGAAGGTGTCATTTTGCTCCAACATTCAGTTTGGTCCCTTTTCCTTCTTGCACTCTGTACAGTGCAATTCTCTTTTTTCCTTTCTTTAATTGATGATTCTCCAGGTAATGTCTAATCAAGAGGCAGTTGACATCGCGAAGAAGGTTAAGGACCCACAGAAGGCAGCCAAGCAATTAGTCATCGAAGCGTTGACCAGAGAAAGTAAAGATGATATCTCATGCATTGTTGTCCGATTTAAGGGGTGAATCCACGACAAGTTATCGCAGTGTGCAGTATATACTGTCCGTGTACAAAAGTATAACTCTATAGTAAATAGAGTGATATTTGTAAGATGAGATGCAACTCCAAGATTCACAGAAGCTTGAAATATATATGCCCTCTCCCCTGCCCCTGGCCCTTCTTTCTTTGTAATAGTTTTTTACTCGGGTTGTGTGATAATTCTTTCCTATTTATAGAGATTATCAGAGTGGATTTTTCTATAATTTGCATAAATGCCTTTGTAATCATGAAAATGGTCAAGGGCTTGATGATATGGTTTATAGACAATTTGATTTTGAAGATCGCTTAGTTTCTGGATCCAAGCTTTGTTCCAAGTCCAAACCATATATAAGCTTGACTACTCTTTTTTTGCAGCTACTTTGGGAAAACCTGCACATGATTTTTAACTATTTTCTGGTTTCTTATAATGCTGTTATTATTTTTATGGTTTCTGTTGATGGTACTAATATATTATCTCTTTCGTCTTTTTTGTTTTCTTGAGCCAAAGGTCTATCGGAAATAGCCTCTCTACTCCATCGGAGTAGGGATAAGGTGTACACACTACCCTCCCTAGACCCCTTACTTTTGGGATTTTACTGGGTGGTTGTTCTTAACCTTTACAAGCTAAAGCGAATAATGCGTATCACGTTGGTGGTAAAAAGTGTATATGCAAGACATATATATAAACAGCATATGCAAGTGAATATCTTCTGGTATTGTTTATCAAGAACAACTTTATAAGACTTTGTTGGAGTGGCAAGAAAGGTGCTAAATCATTGTACTTTTTTTTAGTTTTATTCTCTAAAAATTAAGGTGTTTTTTTAAAATAAAATTTTAATGTCTGAAAAAGAAGATGCGCCGGAGTAACATTATTATTTGACAATTTGAACTTAAATTCATCCATATATATATATATATATATATACTAGTCTTATGGTACGTGTGTTGTGCGTGTAACCTATCTAAATGCGTATAAAATTTTTAAAAATTTATATAAATATTTTTTTTTGAATTAAAATAAATGTGTAAATTTATTTTAACAAGAGATATTGATTTTGTATAGCTATTTCAATAAGGAATATCAATTTATATATTTCAATGTCTTTTTTTGACCAAAAAAAAAGATGTTTATGTTTTATTTTTTCTGTTTTAACTACTACCCTAAATCACTTATGACTAAATGTATCTAATTTATTTTCATTAATTTCAATATATAAATTTATCTTATCTATGTTTTACTTTTCGAGTATTGTAATTGGATTTGTAATTTAATATGTGTATAAATTTTCAATATGTATTCAACTTATTCAAATAATAATTAACTCAAAGTACATTAAAGTACTTATTACTTTAAATTAAAATACTACTATTATTTTCAAAACGTAAGCATATCATATTAAACTTATTTATATATATTTTCATACTCGACCTAATATGTTGTAAGTTTGGTTTACATATTATTAATAATCTTTAATTTTTGAAGACTTAAAATTATATCTAAAATTTTATTAGTAGATTTCTAACATGTTTATATACATTTTGTCTAATAATCATAAGAAAAAGTCATAATTACTTTACACAATTTATTTAAGGAAATGATTTATAAGTAAATTTTTATTTGGTTTTAAATTCCTAAAATTTAGGAGTTTCTGACCAACATTTGGTTGATTTTAAAGTATTAAATATTAGTAGAATAATTAAATTATAATTATAACCAATGTAACATCTATTTTTAAAGGGTAAAAAAGGCGAATGACATTTCACTAAAATGCTTCGTGCTAGGATATGCGTGATGCGTGTACCTTCTATTGATGCGTACAAAATTATAAAAAAAAACATATGCCCTTAAAAATAAGATTTTTAAAAATATAAGCTCTTAAATATGATAAATATTGAGCCTACTTAGTCGAAAAAAGTAACGGATAGCCTATCTAAGCATGACAACAACCAAGATAATCTTGAAAGTTTGATGTTATTATGTATCTCGTTCTTTTACATTAATTTCGTATCAAAGTAGTCGTCTAGGTACCATGTATTCTAAGACAAGTTATCTACAAAGAGAAGAAAAATTAGCGATAGATAAATTATGTAGTTAAATAATAAAATTCATTGCTAATCCTACTTAGTGACATAATCAGTTATATATTATAAAAAATCCTATTAGCTATAAGATGAATTTAGTAGTAACTAATTCATGTTTTATAAAGTTAAATTATGTAACAAACTTTCTTAGTAATAATATTGGTTTCTTTGTTACCAAAAAATAAAGGTCCCTTTCCATTTATTTATTTTAACATATGCAATGAGGTAATTTAGATATTTCTGTAAATTAAATTATGATAATTAATTTTTTATCACAAATTAATGATTACTATATTCTTCAACAATAATTATTATTTCAAAACCTAATGCCGTAGTTTCTAAGAAAATAATTATGATTTAATTTTTCAAAAAACAAATAAATCATATGAAAGAAAAATAAAGGCAAAATTGGTCTTTATGATTAAACAAGGACAAAGAACAAAAATATCACACAAAAACGTGAAGCTTTCTTGTTGGAAACAAACAAAAAAATTTCCTCCTACTTTTTTTTATTCTTTTACGTCTTAATATATTGTATCTTTATTAGGAGAAGATATCAAACACTTAATTATATTAGATTTTTTTTATTTAGAACTCCTACATATAAGGAAAGTTTATTTATTTTACAATTTTGTCCACTGTAAAATATATTTTTAAAGGGTAAAAAAGGCGAATGACATTTCGTTAAGAGCCTTCATGCTTTTAATATAATATAAATTATTTTTGCCAAGAGGCTTACGGTTTCGGTGACTCTTTTACCATCAAAGTAGGTCTGCCTCTGCATATTAGAGCGCATGCTCTTAGTACATAGTTGCTATGGACCTACGACATATGTAGTGTATATAAAATTGGGACAAACCATTGTAGGTTGGTCATTGATTAGAAGTTATATGATTAGAAAATGTACCAAACCATTGTAGGTTGTTCATTGAGTTTCAAACATAATTAAAGTTGGGCACTTGCTAAATGTGAAGTATATACACAAAAAAGATCAAAGAGAGGATAAAGCTATAGAAAAAGTAGGAAAAGACACCAAAAGTATGAAACTATAGAAATTGCAGTAAGCAATTTTAAACATCGAATAAGAAAACTACAGAATAAAAACAATAGAGCTTATAGCTAGTGCCGAAACATCCTACTTATGCAAAGAATATAACTAAGAAAATCATGTTAAGAAGAATTTCTACTAGTAGGCAAAATGTTATGGTGGATAACCAAATACATTGTAAAATGGTAATTAGTTCTAGTATTTTTGTATAAAAACAACTAAACGATAGATTTCGAAATCAAATAACAACAAGTAATAAAAGAAACAACATAACTCGGATATCAACAAAGAATCAGAAGTCAACAAATGCACGACATCACCCTTCGTGCTTTTACTCTCTTTCCTCACCATATAATCAATAAAATCGGCATGGAATGGTACATCGTGTGGCACGGCATCACCCTTCGTGCTGTACACTCTTTCCTCACCATATAATCAATAAATATCGGTACAGAATGGTACATCGTACGACACGACATCACCCTCGTGCTTTGTACTCGTTCCTCACAATAGCAAACAATGCACGACATCACCCTTCGTGCTTTAACACTCTTCCTCACCCAAACAACAATCACAAACAAGGGGCAAAGGAGTAAACAAATAATAATAGAAATCCCGGCAAGGGAATACAATTAAACAGCTAAACCCCGGCAAGGGAACAATTCAATAACTCTTTCTCTTTCTTTCACTTTTACTTCTCATCTCACTTTACCACCTGAGCCAACGCTCCAAAGGGTTCAATCATTTCATATACTTTCACGCTTTGTAATATAACTCGAGCCAATGCTCCTCGAAGTTCAAGGTCACAATTTCCTTCATAAGCTTTTCACAACATATAGAAATCATCATTTAGACATGAAAGATACAACAAAATTAGAATATCCGCAATATAAAGAATCACGGTCATGCTATACACCAACGTATAGATACTCGTCACCATGCCTATACGTTTCACTCGACAATTAGCACGTAGCAAATAAGACTCAACTCTTAATCCCTCAAGCTAAGGTTAGACCAAACACTTACCTCAAACTTCCACGGCTAATTCAATCCTCAATTACAGCCTTTCCTCTCGAATTTGTCTCCAAATCGATTGTATCTATACAATAATGACTTTAATACATCAATAAATGCTAAACAATGCGAACCCAATGCCTAATTATAGCTTTTTAAGCATTCTTCCCAAATACCAAAAATCGACCCTAGGCTCGCTTGGTCAAAACACGAGGTTCGGACCAAAATCAAATCATTCATTCACCCACGAGCCCGAATATATAATTTATTTTCAAATTCGAGCCCAAAATGAGGTCTAAATCAAGAAAAGTCAAAAAAGCCCTAACTCTACCCAATTCCGTAATTTCTACCCTTAATCACATATTTTAGGCCTGGAATTTCAATAGATGTTGAAGAGAATGGAAGGAAATAAGTTAAAGATTACTAACCCAAGAGATTACGGTGAAGAAATGCTTCAAAAATCGCCTAAGAGCTTTGGAGAAGATGAGTTTTATGAATTTTTATAAAAATCCCGAAAGTGTTCTGTTTTGGTCTTTTAAAAAGCAGTGGGCGAAAATGTTCTTCGCGTTCGCGATGGGTCAGGCCTATAGAACTTCACGTTCGCGGAGCTTTAGCTCCTCAAGCCTACGCGTTTGCGTGCCAGTGGCTGGGTTCGCAATGAATAATTTGGTGACCCCTCCCCAGCACCTTACGCGTTCGCGAGTGGAGGGACGCATTCGCGAAGGGTCTCCCCCTCAGCTTCGCATTCGCATCACAACCTTCGTTCGCGAAGAAGACTTTGGGCACCTAGGATCTTTGCCTTACGCATTCGCGAAGAGGTCCACGGGAACGCGAATGGTAAAATCCCTGGGCACTGACTGCAGAAAATCTGCAACTTTTCTTAGACTTAAAACTTCCCGAAACACATCCGAAACACTCCCGAGCCCTCGGGGCTCCTAACCAAAATTATGCACTAACTCAACAATATCATACGAACTTATTCGTGCGATCAAATCGCCAAAATAACCTTAATAACAATGAATCAAACCTCAAAGTCAAGAATATTTTTCCAAAAACTTCATCAAGTTTCAAATTTAGGATTACAAGTCCGAAACATGTCAAACGACGTACGATTTTAACCAAACTTTACAGGAAGGACTTAAAACATATATAAGACCTGTACTGGGCGCCAAAACCAAA